CACCTCGGGGAGTGGCGGGTGCTCGGGGGATCGGGTAGGCGGGACACCCTAGCTGGGGACAGACGGGCCAGTGACAAGTCGCTCGAGGCCCGTTGGTTCGTTCAATCCTGCACCTGGGGACTCACTGCGCCCATTTCACCCAGCAGGAAGCTGAGGCTGGAGCCCTTGCCGGGTTCTCTTGGGAGACCTCCCAGGGAACAGGGATGCCTGAGGGTGTCATGTAGGGCTCTCTCCAAAGTCTAGTGGTCTGGAAAGTCTAACTGTGGGTCCTCTCTGCAGATGGTTCCTGAGCCCCACAGATAATGTGGCCCTTGGTCACCTTGGGCCCTGGGGAGCGACGGCAGTATTCAGAGAAAAGAAGCCCAGAACTGCTGGGGCTGCATCAGGAGAGGAGGAGGAAGGGCTGGGCGTGTGGGTCCCCAGAGGCCTGGAGCTGGCAGGGGTGAGGCTGTGACACATGTGGGCAAGTCAGCGCTGAGAGGAATGTGGGGCCAGGAGCAACGGCCCGCACCTGTCATTCTGCTCTCTGGGAGGCTGGCACAGGAGGATCGCAACTTCTAGTCTCACCTGGGCATCTTAGCAAGACCTTCTCTCAAAATCAAAATAAAACATAAAAAAGACTGTAAAGGGGGTGTGGGCAGTGGGGGTTGTGACCTGTGGCATAGGGCACAAAATGGAGATGTCCCTGAGTCAGTGGCATGTCTGAGTGCCTGGCAATTTAGCCCCTTTTTCTGTGCTGCCACAACTCCCTCATCCCCATTTCCCAGGACAGCACGCTGAGACCCAGGGCCATCAGGAAGGGGCAGCCCTGGATGTAACCTGCATGGCCGCCTCTGGCCAGCTCAGGACTAATCCCCGAAAGTTACATAACATCATGCATGAGGAGGGGCTAGTAGAGCTCCTTGTGGCAGGAATCAGGCCTCGGAATTTTCCAGAGACCAGATTTCAGAATCCAGCCGGACCTGGACCACCAGTACGGTCACACCTCCACTTGGGGCATCCAACAGGAGCATTAGGACATGGGGGACCCCTGGGCACAGCGCATTTGAGGGAGCAAGATTCAGGCTCTTCCGAGCCCAGTATGGTGGCACAGGCTTGTAGTCCTAATCGCAGCACTTAGGAGGCTGAGGCAGGAAGTCATCACAAGTTCGAGGTCAGCCTGGGCTTCATATGAGACCCTGTCTCCTCTGTGGGACTCTGGTCTCACGCAGTGCCAGGTTGTAGAGGTTTCCGGGACTCCTCAGAGATCTGCTGGCTGCAGCCAGGGAGCCCACATACCATGCTGATGAGCAGGTGCAGAGGTAGGAGGCAGGTGGACAGCTCCAGGGCATATGCCCACATCATGGGCACTCTGGAATACTCAGGGGTGCACGCATTATGAAAATAGGATGAGGGCTGGGGATTTAGCTCAGTGGTTCCACCACCTGCTTTGCAAGCTCAAGGACCCAAATTCGATCCCTGGTACCAAAAAAAAAAAAAAAAAAAAAAAAGGATGAAGGGGCTATGTGCCGGGAGTTAGCTCAGTGGTGCTGTGCCTGCCTCGCAAGTGCAAGTTCCTGAGTTTGATCCCTGGTACCCCCCAAAAAATAAATACATAAAAGGGGGAAGGCCTGGGAAGGCTGGGTATGGTGGTGCACACCAGTTATCCCAGCACTCTGGGAGGCTAAGGATGGAGGATCACCAAGTTTCAGCCCAGCCGCAGCAACTTAGTAACTTAGGGAGACTCTGTCTCAAAAAAATACAAAAAGGGCTGGGGATGGCGCTCAGTGCAAAGGCCCTGGTTGGTTGTTTCCATCACATATGAAGGAAGGAAGGAAGGAAGGTGGGAAGGGGAAAGTTCCATCTGTGAAACACACCCCACCTGAGGCTGAGGTATTTATTAAATACCTATTGTATGCAGACTCCTTTCAGTCTTAGAGAAATGACTACAGTTTACCTAAATTATCTCGAGGTGGTAGAGACTTAGCCAAGTCCGGCTCAGGGAAGGCGCGGGAGCACCGTAGGGTGGCCAGGCCCTTTCCGGGCAGCAGCTGAACTAAAAGTTTGTGCTATTCTTAGTCCCTAGTGACAGAGAGGAAGAACCAGGCTCAAAGGCTCCTGTGAGCCCCAGATCACCAGGCAGGACCTCAAGTGGCTAAGCCCTGCCTTGGGTCTGGGTAGAGTGGACCAGAAGCCCTGTCCCTGCCACATGGCCCCCCACCTCCTTCCCAGCCAGCCCTAGGAAGAGGTGCCAGGCCTGGCCCTGCAGCCGGGCAGGTGGCCAAGGCCAGAAGCGTCCCTGGGGGAACAGAAATGAGCGTTCCTGGCCTGGAGCCTCACAGCCGACTGTCAGCTGATGCCACACGAGTTCTCCCGTCCCCTGGCTGCCTGCTGGGCTTCTCTGGCTCATCCTCTGCCTCCGAGTAGGGCCTCTGCTGGCAGCCTGTGCCCCTGTGATCAGGAACTCCAGCCTCCTCGCCCAGCTGCCTCTAATCCAGCGCTCTCTGCCCACTCCAGCCTGGCCAGGCTTTCAGGGGGCAGCTGGGGATGGATCCCCCAGTGCACCTCACAAGGGACCCTCACAGGCATTGAGGGGTTGACTGCTTCAGGGTCTGGGGACACTAAATGCCACAGGACAGCCCATAGCGGGTAGCGTGTAACATGCACATGATGCTAATTTCACCTCCATTCAAGGAAGAGACAGTGGGGCCAGCGGTCTGGAAACGGGGTCCTGGAGGAGATTTCTCACAGGTGGGCAGCCCTAGGGCTCTGGAAATGAGGAACAGGCCACCGGCACTGCCAAAGGAACAGGGGTCTCACATTGGAGACCAGGGAAGGGAAAAACAAGAAGCCTAACTTCATTTCTTTTTCCTTTCTTTGTTTTCCTCAGTACTGAAAATTGAACCCAGGGCCTTTGCTCCGAGCTCCATCCCCAGCCCTTTTTATTTTTATTTTGGATTAGGGTCTTGCTGAGACACTAAGTTACCCATGCTCAGGTTCTCCAGTGTCTGGGGTAACAGGTATGTGCCGTCACCCCCGTTTCAACTTCATTTCGTTCTTTTTTGGTACTGGGGATCGAACTCGGGTCCTTGCACTTGTGAGTCAGGCTCCAGAACCACTGAGCTAAATCCCCAGCCCATCAACTTCATTTCTTGAAATCCACACTTGAAAATGAGATAGATTTTGTACTGACATGAACCACGGAAACGTTTGTGGCAGCACGGTTCACAGCAACCAAAAAGTGTAAACAGCTCAGGTGTCCATAGATGGACAGAGGGACACAACGGGGTCATCCCCACGCCAGGAAGTCATTCAGTCAGGACAAGGGCGAGGCTGGGACCCTCACCACAGTGTGCACGGACCCTGAGGGTACCATGATCAGTGAGACGCCAGACACGGAGGACAGTGTGGGCTCCACGGACAGAAACCGTCCAGGACAGGCGACTCCAGAAGCACGAAGTGGACTCAGGGGTGCAGGGGCTAGGAAGGGGATGGGTGACCGTGGGGACAGGGCTTCCTATTGTAACAATGGGATGTTCTGAAGTGGACAGTGGTGACAGCTGTGCTTGATGCCACTGAGCTGTGCATTTAAAATAGCTAAGATGGTGCTTTTTATGTTACACACTTTTCCACCACAAAAAAAAACAAAAACAAAGGAGAGCCGGGGATTTAGCTCAGTGTTTCCGCTGCCTGCCTCACAAGTGCAAGGTCCCAAGTTCGATCCCTGGTACCAGAAAAAGAAAGAAAGACATTCTCCACCCTCCCTGTTTTGTGAGACAGGGTCATATTATATAGCTCAGGCTGGCTGGCCTTGAACTCATGGCGATCCTTCTGCCTCAGCCTCCTGGGTACTAAGGTTACAGATATGCACAACCTATGCCTGGTTGCTAAGAACCTCATTTTGCAGAAGGGGAAATTGAGGCAGATCAGTGCTGGGTCCAGGGTTGCTATCTGTAAAGGGTCGGGGTAGGCCTGAGGGGGGCTGTCTGACCCTACCATTCCCACCGCTCCCTGGGTCCCATGTGAGCTTGGGTTCCCCAAACCTTCTCTTCTCCCGCCGACCTGAGATGACTCCCCAGACTCAGCAGATTTCTGGGAAGCAGCGCCCAGAAGCTCTGCTCAAAATACCTGCGGCAGGTGGAGGTGGCTGCTGAGCCAGCGGGTGCCAAGTGCCCAGAGGCCTGGAGGCTCACAGGACTGGCGCAGGGTCCCCACACCCACCTCCGTCCACGAGGTGCCAGGATGGCAGCATCAGCTTCAGCTCCCGGGTCCACTCCGGTCTCCTGACCTCCAGTGGATTCTCGTGGAGTCCTGTGGGCCAGGACTTGTGAGCCTCTCAGCCACCACCCTTGTCCCTGGAGACCAGCACCCCAGGAGAAAAGCTGGAGGGGCTGGGCTTCGGGATTGAGCCCCAGTGCAGGGACGGACCTGGATTTGTGGCCAGGTCCTCCGCAGCCCCAGGATCAAAGCTGTTCCTGTTACTCAGGTCTTCCGGTGTTGGCTTCTTTAGAAGCGTCATCTTCTCTCATCTTCTGCCACACCTCCCCTCTTTTTTCCCCATCTTTCTGGCCAAATCATTCCAGTCCTCTTCTCTAGC